TGCATTGATAAATTGTTTTTGAATCTTATATTGATTTAATGCATGATGAAAGTATTGTTTCTGATTTACTTTAAGTGTGTTTTAATTTAATACATTGATAAATTATTTCCGAATCTTATATTGATTTAATGTATAATAAAAGTATTATTTTTGATTTACTTTAAGTGCATTTTGATCTAATGTATTGATAAATTGTTTCTGAATTTTGTATTGATTTAATATATAATGAAAGTATTGTTTTTAATTTACTTTAAGTACGTTTTGATCTAATGCATCAATAAATTGTTTCTGATTTACTTTAAGTCTTTTTTAATGCATAATTAAAGTATTATATTACATTGATAATTGTTTTCAATTTACTTTAAGTATTATATTAATTTAATGTATTATCCGATATAACTATTTGAGTTTATTTTCAGCATATATATGAAAATTTATATAAATAAGCTTGATTTTTCCATTTCTTAAAAAAATAATTTTAACTTAAACTTTATCTTTTAAATCAAATTTTATTTTTACAATTAAATTTCTTCTTTTAATTTCTTCTTTTTACAATTTCTCTTTTCGTAAAATGCTACCAAAATGCTAAACAAAAAAATTATTATAAGAGCAAAAAGAATGTAAGTTGAATTTTATCAATCAACTAGCCAATTTTTCAAATGTTAACTGATTTTTTTGTTTTTATATAATAGAATCTTAGTGACAAATAATACTAATAAAATGCCCCTAATGAAAAAAATCAGTTAATGAAGAGTCAGAACATAAGTTGAATTTTATCAATTAACCAGTCAATTTTTCAAACATTAACCGATTTTTTTGCTTTTCTATAATAGAAAAAAGACAAAAACACGTTCATATAATATTGTCTGAAGATAAACTGATTATTTTAGATCGTAAGTTAGTCATAATATAATACTATTTTTATATTAATACTAAATAATTTTCAAATTATAAGCGTAGATTTAGGAGAAATACAAAGACAATATAGGGAAATTCAACTTTTATCAAAATTTTGATGACAATTAATAACAAATACTTCAGCTGTAGCTGAATTTGAAATTCTCGATAATTTGAATGATTTAGAATCAGGTATATTATTTTTGATTTATTTCTATTCATTATTTTATAATTAATAATATATGGGGCCTTTGCAGTAGAAAAACTGAAAACTCCGAAAAACGTGATTTTGAGATAATTGAGTTTGAAATTTTAATCACATGTAAACAGATCGACAGTCTGCAGAATTAAAAATAGAATTAACCCATTATAGTCTGATCTGCATTATATTGTTTATTTATTTTAAAATGCAATAATAAAAAGCCGTTAAAATAAAAAAATTAACAATCATTTTAATTTTTATTTAGATAATTTTTATTTAGAACTAACGTTTTCCGAAATGAGTGTCCGGAGACGTTTTTTTCACGAAATAAACGTCTGGTAACGTTTTTTCCACGAAACGAACGTCCGGTGATGTTTTTTTCCATGAAATGAATGTTTGGTGATGTTTTTTCTGCAAAATAAACATCTGGTGATGTTTTCTTCTGCGAAATGAACGTCCGGTGACATTTTTCTGCGAATTGAACGTCTGATGACGTTTTTTTCGCGAAATGAACGTCTGGTGACGTTTTTTCCGCGAATTGAACGTTCAGAGACGCTTTTTCCGCGAATTGAACGTCTGGTGTTGTTTTTTTTCGCGAATTGAACGTCCGGAGACGCTTTTTCCGCGAAATGAATGTCTGGTGATGTGTTTTTCGCGAATTGAGTGTTCAGAAACGTTTTTTCCGTAAAATGAACGTCCGGTGACGCTTTTTTTACCAAACGAATGTCCGGCGACGTTTTTTCACGAAATGATCATCTGGAAACATTAATCTATGGAATTAATGTTCGAATATTCGATGTATCATGTTAATCTTGCGGAATAATGTTAATCCAAAGCCTTGATTTGCATAAATGATCAAAAAAAGGCCTTCCGTGTAGA